TTTCCATCTTTATACAGTTTTGGTTTGTTGGTTCCTTGCTTTGTATAGGGAAGATTTCTATTGGTATTGGCTTAGTATCAGTATTTTCTAGAATATCTAGGTTTATATTATCTTTAGTTTTGTCAATTGAAGATTGAATTAGCTTAACTTTTCTATCACTTTTCATCTGTAATTTTGTATTATTATTTTCTTGTTATTCAAGAACTCTAATTGAGTAATTGTGAAATTCATCATTTCTAGATTGTTTTTGTAATTAGTGCTATTTTCTAGATAGTGATTTGTACAATCTATTTTTATAAAAGAGTTGCCAAATCTTTCTATCAAAATTTTCTTTTTTTTTTCTAAATTTTGATTCCTTGTATTCTTGTATTGAGCCCAATCATAATGTCATATTATATTTTGAATAATGGCGACTAAATATGCTTCACTAGTACCTAAATATTTTGCTACTTTTTTGGTCTTCCTCTCATAAATTGTTATTTTGCTTGTCTTGTATTTCTTTTCTTTCTTTTTTAGTTTTATTGAAAAAGTTTTTGTAGTCTATAAGTTCTAACAATTTATGTGTTTTGTTTGTTTATTTGATATTTCCATGTGTTTGTTTGTTGTTTTGTTGTATTAGTTTAATATTTAGTTAGCTTACTAACTTATTAGATTAGTTTGTTTATTTGTTTATTTCTATTCACATCTATTTGTTTTGTTGTAAAACTGATCTGCAGAATAGAGTAGAAGTAGTATTCCCAAAAAAATAAAAAATTTTTTTAAACTTTTTTCAAAAACTAAAGTTTTTAAAAAAAAAGTTATTCAAAGCTTGTAGCAGGCCTGGTTGCTCTATTAACCTAGTGTTGATTTTTTTGGCTTAACCTTTTATTTTTATTTTTATTTTTTAATGTTTAAGGTGAGACCTTGCTCTTATCTTTATTAAACTTAATGAAAACATTTTACATGATTGAAAAAGGTTTTATATTTTAAGTCTAGTGCTAAGAATAGCTTAACCTTTTATCTTAAGACTATTTTGTATATTTATTTAGTACTAATATGCTCTATGTCTAGATTTTTTTTGCTCTAGTTTTAGGCACAGTGATCGATAGAAAGAGTGTTGATTTTCTTAATATATAATATTAATACAAACTTAATTTTTAGATCAAATAATATTTATATTTTTTTACAAATTAATTCCAACCTCTTAACAATTTAAAGTTTTAAAAACAATAATATAATTTTTTAAACTTTAATAATTAATTTTTTCTTTTTTAAAACAATATCATCACAAAATTTTTTAAGTAGATTTTTATTGATATATAATGCATAATCATTTTTTATCGATTAAAATTAAATGTTACACATCAATTAAATTGGTATAAAGAATATATATTAAAAATCGATTATTAACAATAATAGGAATAAAATTGATATAGATCAAATTATCAATTATCATCGAACCAACCAAAATCGCAATATATTGATTATTACATTATTAATCAATTATTGGTATTACGTTATACTTTAAATAGATATTCATAGACTTTAATTAGATATATGCTTTAAATATTAGATATACACTTTAAATATTAGATATACACTTTAAATATTAGATATATGCATTAAATATTAGAATATAAAACTGTTTACTAAATATTCATTTATTTTTTCAAATTTTGCAATTATACGTACAGTTTTATCCATACTATCTATAGGTATACAACTGTATTGTTTAATTAATTTTAATTTTGGACATCCTCATAATTCACCATCTACATCATACTAATGAACAAAAGCGAGTTCTAACAGTTCTTTGTCTATTCTTTGGTAAAACTTAAGTATCAACAGAATCTTATGAATAGTATTTTTTTATATATATTAGTATATATTACTCACAAAGTTAGAGAGTATTTCCTAACTTCATCTCTTATAGTCATTATTAAAATATATCAGAATACATGTAAAACTATTAAAATGAAATTGATACTTACCAAGCTATATCTATTTACTTCATTTACTTGATTATCAAGTGCACTTACTATAATATTAGAAAATATTAGTTTTCTATAAAAACTTAATGAAGCACAAATTATATCAGTGGTTTCTAAAGATGCAGAAGAAAATAATTCTATATGATTTTCTTTGCAAGGGACACAGTTGATTTTGCTTCAAAAAAATTATCAAGGCCAGTTAGTAGGTTTTGAAAACCTTCAACTTGTAATAGATCTAAATTATTTATATTTTTTTGATAGAAATTCTCCAGGTTTTCAGACAACTTTAAAGTCTATAAAAGTTTTTCAAACCCTTTAGTTCAGCAATATCTTTTATGGACTTCTTTTTCTGTGAGTTTTTTTTATTTAATCTAATAATAATTAATTATTAATGATATATAGAGATTATCTACTAAATCAGTATTGGCATTGGCCATATATCTAATACCAACATTGTTTAAACAATATTGGCATTGGATATATATTCAATACTAATGCTGATTTACTATAATTAAAATGTACTGCATTTAATATTTGTTTCATATAGTCTTTCTTGTTTGATATTTAATAAGGAATTTTTACATATTTCTTATGAAGTATTTCATAGGTTTTAGTGTTTATACTATTTATTAACCCATATTTTCTAATTGCGGATACTATATAATAGTATCAAGAATGAAGTTTTGGCAATTGTAGCCCACTTGGTAAATAAGAAAAAAATATTTTAATGAATTCTTAAGCCCAATCCACAATTAATTCCTATAAATTAATTGTTAATAATCGACATTTGTAAAAAGCTAAGTATTTAGAATTTTTACTAACAAAATCACTGTTTGGGACTATGTAATTCATAGTCCCGAAGGGTGATTTTGTTAGCAAAAATCTTATTTGTTTTATACCTGTAATTGATTTAAAGAATTGTCAGTAAATGATTCTTCTCATGATACAATATACATCCAAAGAAACTTATAATATACATAGCATAACTATTTATTACTGATTCCTGGCTTCTTATAATCTTTATATAAGTTTTCAAGTACAAAAATTATTACTTTCATTAAATTACTGAACTCATCTGCTATCATGCTATTATTTCAGATATATTTTTCAAAATTTTGAAGCCTTGATGCCTAGGAATCAGCATTAATTGCTGTTCAAAGATTTGCATCCTTTTTCTTTTATACTGGTCATTTAAAAGCTTTTTAGTATAGTCTAGTATATACTTAAAGAGACCAAGCTCTAAGGTATGTATTCGATCAGAAACAATAGCCTTATATATATTAAAGTTGCTAAAAACAAAAAAAAAACTCATTAATAATAATAATAATAATAATAATAATAATAATACAAGTTTACTAAAATGTACCTATGGTGTTCAACATCATAGGTCTCTATTTCTCAAAAATGTACTAAGCCAATACCAATAGAAATCTTCCCTATACAAAGCAAGGAACCAACAAACCAAAACTGTATAAAGATGGAAA